TGGAAGACAAACAACCTTGATATTAGTTCTGTTGCTTTTGCTATACTTCGGATTCAATTAGAACTGTTTGAGCTTTTTTGCAATATCTTCTATTGTTAATGTTAGGATGATATGGATAGAAAGAAATAATAATTTTTAAAAAATGAAATATGCTTTGTATCTAAAACACTAGGAATCCAAGAAACATCAAAGCTATTCAATAATGAGGTCAGTGAGTCTATTTCAGAGTGACTTCCTTAGGGACTCCGCAGCTAAATTGTTTCAGATTTAATTAAAGAAAATTCCCTGAAACTTTGTCCAAGTCTTCCAAATCCCTACAGCCTCACAATATTTGAACTGAATACCTTTAAATTGTCTTTCTAAATGCTCTGAACTGTCCTTGTAATTTAAGTTTTGTGAGTTTGTCCTTGTGGATAAGCTTGAGCTTCTCTATTCATCTAGCACTAACAGAACAACTCAGCATGCATATTGTCTTACCATTTTTCTGCTTCATATGGAGAATCTACAAAATACAATGCACATAGAATGATTCTGAATCTTTTTATGCAGTGGTGAAGTTATGAGGAAGGATATTATTTAGGGCACAGGCATGATAATTGCTTTAGAAATGCTTTAAATTGTACCCCACATAGATGTTAGAAGATAAGACCATTCACGCATGGACAGACATATTTTTACTGGAAGCAGGTTAGAAGCCCCAAATACACCAGACAGTCAGAACAATGATTTCCCGGATATTTTATGGTAGCCAGATAGGAAAAATGATAAGGCGTTTGTATTTTAATCGCATTTTTCTATGTGTTTGGAATAGTCACCTTTTGCATCGTTCTTTCCAAACCATTCTCAATCTCATTCCAATAATCAGTCTAATTCTTATCCAATTATTAATTATATTGAATTATTTAAAAAAGTAAAAAAATAAAAAAATATTAACTATCTTTAGATACAATATCCTCTTCCTCCTTCTATATAATGAGGGAGGTCTTGAAATGACACCCGTATTATTAATAGCCAAATGTCTTTCATACTTGATTTCTAAACTTCAGTGATAGCACCTCAAACATTTCTCCGGTCCAGATGTTAATTAATTAATTAATTAATTAATTAATTAATTCATAATTGAACTTCTATGCTGTCCATCTCACCATGGTGACCCTAGGCAGCTTACAGTCATGTAACTAAAATACAGTATAAAATGTATTTAAAATAAATAGGTGATAAAATAAATAAAAAACGCACCTTTAAAATTCAGTTGAAATTAAATTAATCAAGATGGGAGGAAGGGAGCAAAGTGTGCATGGGGATGAGGTGGGGTCTGTCTAATCCATTAACCACCTCCAAGATGCCACTCTCCTATTGGGAGTGCATTTGGAATAATCAAAGACAGAAATTAAATAGGGATTTTGTGGAAATCTCTCTCTTTTTTTTCATCATCATGAAAGATTGCAGGAATGCACTTCCTTGTACTTTTAGTACACAGAAAGTTCTTAAACATATTCAAGAATCCAGTGATATTGTGATATTTGGAAGCACACGTAGGGCTGAATGTACCATACAATGAACAATAGAGGGATCTAGTATTTCTAGTCTTTAAAAAAAAGAGAGACTAAGGGTGATATGATAGCAGTCTTCTAGTACTTGAGGATCTGTCACAGTGAAAAGGCGGTTCACCTATTCTCCAAAGCACCTAAGGGCAGGATAAGAAATAACAGGTGGAAGATCTTTAAAGAGAGATCCAGCTACAACTAAGGAGAAATTCCTGACAATGAAAACAATTGATCTGTGGAACGGCTTATCTCTGGAAGTTGTTGTTTCTCCATCACTGGAGGTTTTCAAAAAGAGACTGGACAGCCATTGGTCCAGAATGTTATAGGGTCTCCTCCTTGAGAAGGGGATTAGATTAGAAGACCTTCAAGGTCCCTTCCAATCCTATTATTCTATGTTCTGCTTAGCTCATCAGGCCCAATAGTATAATCATTCAGCAGTTTTGCAGAGATCAAAATTCCATGAAAGTTGTCAAGCAATTGCAGAATAAGTGCCTCCATTGAAAATTCCTTAACTATAAAAACAAAAGGAAAGTATAACAATTTTCCTATATAGTAGTTGGCGAGAAACAGCTTCTTAATATTTTCTTCATCTGCCCTTCCCATTTTTCTGATCCCATTGCACAATTTCCGTTAACAGCTGGACCACCTCTCTTAGATTAGCCAGCATACAGAAAATACTTTGGTAAAGGAGACATTGCAGTACCATCATATTTTGATTTCCATCCTAATGTGCATACTGTTTGATGGATACTGACTCACTTCAGCCACTTCAGGTAGTGCATAGCAGCATGGTTCATAGCTTGCCAATTGAGAAATGGGTATTACAAAATGTAATGTGTTCTTAGTTGTTTAAATAAGCTTGATAAACTGAAAACCATCTGTTTCTCAAATGTCCATAGAATGTCATCTATCAGACCCAGACTTCTCTTACTAGTCTAATAAATTTGTATTTGTAATACATTGAATGTCCAAATCAGTACATCAGTTTTGAGCTACAATATTTTCCTTGAAATAGAAAATTGTCCAATCCAAGCTGAGGGGTTTTTTTGTTCTTAAAATGAGATGTTAGGATTATTTTTAAAGTGTGCATTCCACCAACATTTTCTAAACAGCTCTACAGAAAATGAGCATCTGCTTTAAAATGCTGGCATGTATTGTCCTGCTATTATGCAATACAGCTGTCTCTCCTTTTTTGCTGTCATAATTTTAAAAAATAGAGCAGCAATTTAAACTGTTTCATCTCTGGCATTTTGAAATAAAACAACACTCCACTCAAATAATAAACTTTTGCTGCAATTATATATTTAGTCACAGAGATCCTCGCCCAGAGTTGGGTATAGAATATATTCAGATTGGTTTGTTTCTTTTGGCTCCCTGACAGTTTCCCCATAAGTAGCCCAGGTCATGCTGAGAAGCAACATTAAGCCTTCAAAATGGCTTTCAAGATCATTTGGGAGATCAGTCGCACTCAATTCAATCTGTCATTTAGAACTATTGTAACAAAGGTACACACTTGTAACAGGGCGGTAGTAGTATGAATGAAAAATAATATCATGGAAAGCCTAGGGAGATGGCCAAGATGGTTAGATCTAGTTTTCAGAAGAGGGAAAGGTTGAGATTTCCTTTAGTTAAATTTAAGTACCTTAGCGTGCAAGTGAAGACCTCATCTGAAACAGTGGATATGCTTCCTGGCAGACCTATGCTACTAATATTGTTTCCACTTACATTCTATGTGTATATTTGCATATAAACCACTTAGCTTACTTAACTTGCATGCTAGCAAAGTAATGCTCAAAATTCTGCAATCTAGAGTTCAACAGTACATGGAACTAAAATTGTCAAATATAAATGTGGGATTCAGAAAAGGCTGGGTACCTAGACATTGCTAGTATCCAATGGATAATTGAAAGGCAAGGAGGTTTTAAAAATATACCTATTTCTTCTTTATATATTATAGAACAGTAGTGACTGGATACGCCACATCAAACATGATTATCCTGTGAAAAACTGGATATATCAAATCACAAGAAAAGGTTATAAAATGATCAGAAAACAATAATTAGAATGAAATTTGAACATCTAAATGGTTCATAACTGGGAAAGGAATACACCAAGGTTATAAATTGTCACTTGATTTATTTATATCCAGAATATATGATAAATGTGGGAATAGAAGAAACAGAAATTGGAATTAAAATTGTTGGAAGAAACAGAAATAAACTTAGATATGTCAATGACATATTTTGATGGCTGAAAGCAAGAAAGACTTAAGGAATCTTTTGTTGAAAATAAAAGAATAGAATGCAAAAGCTGTATTTATGCTATTGAACATTGACAAGAACTCTTCATGATATTCTGCATTAAATTATGTAGTTTCACAATTCAAATAATATAGGCTTTTAAAATATAAGCTAATCCATTAATTGTACAAATTTTCATTATATAGGGAAGGAGGAGATAAAATTTGTAAATGCCTTTCCATGCTATTTTTATTTGCAATTATTTTTGTGGAAACATTTAAGCATTAAACATTTAAACTTCCAATTATCTCACTAACTGAAGAATAATTTTAGTTCATTAAAGTGTTTTTATTGAGAACTCTTACTAATAAGTGAAATCAATACTGCAGTTTTAAGTACACATGCATATATTCAATGACTTTTTCATTTATTGTTCACAGTTACCAACCTCGTGTCTCCACCTGTGGCGTTTTAATTATGTAGAGATATAGAAAACAATATTGCAGTTAAATGCAGGGACTGCTGACAAAGTACTAAAGGAAAAGCAGAACACAGGCTTGGACATGAGCCAAAACTCAGGATTTATTTTTCTTCTTATATTATCCATAGAAAATACAATGCCTTCTATTTGACAATATAGTAGTATATTAAAAAAATAACCACAGGTAAAAATGTTGTATACTATGCACAACATGATAGCATTTCTTAATAAATTAAACTCATTTATTTCTGAAATAAGTTCCATATTTTAGACTTTTAACAACAATGTCCTCATTTTTAGAAAAAAAAATTGTTTGTTCCATCCAGAGATAATCTGATACAATTTGCTTTGTCTGTTCATATAATAAACTTGCTTACTGATGCTTGACTGTCTGAGATTTAATGTTTATAGAGTTTGTGTTCATGCAGGGCAACCTAAACAATAAATAACACTTTTGCTTTTCTTCTCTCTCATTTCCCCTAATCAATCAGAATAAATTTATAACTTTAATATAAGAAGCTTTGTAACCAATGCTGTAAGTAGCTTTTGAAATGGCCACACAGTGGAAAAAGACACAGCTGCTTTAACCATTTAAAAACAGGTACACACTTCTTGTTCAGCCTTGTACAGATTTGCATTGACCTCCTAGACATTATTCCAGAACATTTTAATAATTTGCCACCTACAAATTTAAAACCTTTTTTTAAAGAAGTGTTCCCAGATTACAAATACCTGGTGAATGGAGCTTGGTAGCTGCTACTACCAGTCTCTTGGGGGATGAGATGGTAGGCCTGCTGCTTTCCTGATCTTTCTGTCCTTCTTTTTTTGGCCCTGTAAAAAAAAAAGATATATGTATATGACTAAACATGAAACATATAATAACAGAAAAATAGAGTTGGAGGTCTTCTAGTCCAACACCCTGGCCAGGCAGGAAATCCTATACTATTTCAGACAAATGGTTGTCCAATCTCTTCTTAAAAACTTCCAATGTTGGAGCACCCAAAGCTTCTGAAGGCAAGTCGTTCCACTGATTACTTGTTCTAACTGTTAGGAAATTTCTCCTAAGTTCTAGACTAGTTGTCTCCTTGATTAATTTCCATCCATTGCTTCTTGTCCTGTCTTCAGGTGTTTTGGAGACTAGGTTGATCTCCTCTTCTTTGTGGCAGCCCCTTACATATTGGAATACTGCTAATATGTCACCCCTAGTCCTTCTTTTTATTAAACTGGACATACCCAATTCCTGCAACCATTCTTTTTAAGTTTTAGCCTCCAGTCCCTTAATCATCTTTGTTGCTCTTCTCTGTACTCTTTCTAGAGTCTCAACATCTCTTTTATATCATGGCAACCAAAACTGGATCCAGCATTCCAAATGTGATAAAGTGGTGTAAATACTTCACATGAATAACTTCACAGTTACAGGTAGGCACTCTAGGAATTTGACTTCATGTATCATAGGTAAGTTCATTAAATGGGTGAAGAAGCTTCTGTCTTCAGATATATCATGTGGCACGTTTCCAGGCATTGTACAAAACTCAAAATACTTCATAATATGATAAAATTAAATAATAAAACAAATCATAATGTATAATATCCATATTCAATCCACTTATGTATGGAGAACCTATAAACCCATTACAATCACAAAGATACAAATATCTTAGCCTCATTTCCTCAGTTGCTCCATCAATTGATGGAGATTTCCCCTGGACACAGAATGAAGTTTAGCTTACTTTTTTATTGCTAGGTCACTGAATAAAGCTTATTTCAAGAACGTCTTTGAACATTGAGAGGAAGAAAGAATATTGGAACAGGATTGGGAAATGAGTCAAAATACACAGAAGAACCACCATAATAGATTAATTGGATCACAGGCCAGATTTCCCTTATGTGTTTGAAATCAATTTGCTACTCACAAAAACACAAGTCTATTTCTTTACTATTTAAGAATTGAGAATGGAAGAAAATTTTTTGATAACGTATACTGCCCTATAAAGCACTGCTAGCATTATAATTTATTAAATGACAATTTGAATGAAACACAGATGCTTTGAAGAAACCGAGTAAGATTTCTGTTTAGAATCTCACTGGTGTAGTAAATAAGAGGTTAGAATGGCACCAGGGGAGACTCAGGTCTAGTCCATTCTCAGCCATGGCTGAGGGTGACTTTGGGCCAGTTCTTCTCTTTTAAGACAATCCACCACAGAGTTGTTCTGTGTGAAAACAAGGAACAGGAGATATATGACCCCCTCCATGAACTGCTCTTGAGAAGAACAGATGTAGAATAAATCCAACAAATTCAGTCACTGTGCAGGCCTCCCTGAAGAAAAGGTCCACCACCTGCCCCCCCCCCAAATGTAGCTCTCTGGCCAACAGACCTCATAACATCCCCCTGTGCTATATCTGGTGGAACAGGCAGATGACCGAGAAGACATCCGGCCAACAGAACCCCTTACGTGTCTTTCTGTTATATCTGGTGGGATGGGTAGATGGCTGAGAAGCAGCCCCTCATATAACTTTTTAGTTAAAAAGTAACCAAGTAGTGAAAAGCAGTTCCAGCATTTTGAGGCAGCAAGCCCATGAATTACAATTTCCCACATTTTTTAATGAGCAAACCTCCGGATTCTGATATCACCTCTTTGTCTGCCCTGAAAGATTGTTCCCCTTTTGATTAGATGTACATATATGCTGATCCACCATAAACCAACTTCCCATGTTCTTATAATTCTTGGAATTTTCAGCTTAAAAAATTGTTCAAAATATATTTGGGCAGACCAAGCCATTCCCTATATGAAGGTAAGCTATTTATATCTTTCTTTTTTTCCACAGAACTGTAACATCGCCTATTCAGAGAATTATTGTAGCAGTAACATAACAGTTATAATTTTTTAAAAAATCAAGTGTGGATAAATTACTTTTAACTACATTAAAGCAAGCTGCAGCATTTCCTAATGCAAGATTTTTATTAACTCTGATTGATTCTGTCTTGAGAGAAGAATATCTTCAAAAGTATGTGGGCCTCAGGCTCCATTAAGAAAGGAAGGCTCTGTGCCCCGAATGAGGGGCAAAAACGTTTCTATAAGAAACTCTACAACATTATTAGCCAATTGGAACATGATAGCATTTGCATAATGGGTGACTATAATGCAATTGTGGATAATAATCTAGATTATAAATGTGGAAAGAATAGAAAAAAAATTAGAGGAACAATATCTGATATTTTCTTTAAAATGGTAGATGAGTTTAATATACAGGATATTTGGAGAGAAAGGAATCCTGAAAAAAACAGTTTACCTTTTATTCTGGACGTCATCAATCTTGGTCCAGAATTGATATGGTGTGGATGTCAGCTGACTTAAATTTAGAAGTAGAGGAGATTATGATTGATACAAACAGCTGGGCTGATCACAATCCGATTAGAATTAGATGGAAGGGGAAAAAAAACACGAGGAGATGGACTCTAAAAAGGGCAATCTTAAATCATAAAGAATTCAAATCAAAATTAGAAGAACAATTGGATCTGTTTTTTAAGTCAAACAAGAAGGAGGATACAAACTGCCAAAATTTATGGGATACAACCAAAGCCTACATGAGAGGCGTTGTAATTTCTTATATGGCTAGGCAACACAAAATCAAAACACAACGCCAAAGACAACTGGAAGAAGAACTACGTAAAGTTGAGGATAACCTGCAAAATGAACCACAAAGATGTGATTTGAAACAACAGATTGATTTAATTAAACATAAGATGGATATTATTACGAAGGAAGATCTAGGACAGCAGATAAAACGTACTAAACAAAATTTCTTTGAAAATGCCAATAAACCAGGGAGATGGTTGGCTTATAAAATCAAAAAACACAATAATAAGCAGAGAGTTACCAACCTTTATAACGCCAAAGGTGATATGGTGTGCCAGAACGAAGGAAAAAAGCTAGTGGCATATGAGTTTTATAAGAATTTATATAAGGACGACGAAAAGAGAAATAACTATGACATAGTACAGTATTTACAACTAGTCGATTTACCCAAGGTGCCAGAAGAATTTAAAACTCTCCTAAATAAAGAGATAACATATTTAGAGCTCTCGGTCGCAATTAAGAAACAGAAGAATAATAAAACACCTGGGCCAGATGGTATACCTGCAGAAATGTATAAAATTGCACAAGAATCTTTAAGCCCAATGCTGTTGGACTTATTTAATGAGGTTTTAACCCAAGCTAAAATACCAGCTTTATGGGAAGAAGCCTTCCTCACGTTGATACCTAAAGAAAACACAAACCTGACACAAATTAAGAACTATAAACCCATTTCTCTTTTGAATTCAGATTACAAGATTTTCATGGCAATAATGGCACAAAGATTGGAAAGGTTCTTAGTGGATTTTATACATATTGATCAAAACGGCTTTCTATCTAAAAGATATATAAGAAACAATATTAGGACTGTTTTGGACATATTGGAATATTATGAAGTACATAATGAAAAGCAAATGTGTTTAATTTTTCTTGATGCCCAAAAAGCATTCGACAATGTAAAATGGGATTTTATGTTTAATCAATTATTGTATATGGACTTTGGGGAAAATTTCTTAAATATGTTTAAATCAGTTTACTCTAAGCAGGTGGCCAAAGTAATAATCAATGGAGAACTGACTGAGAGTTTCCAAATGCAAAAAGGCACAAGGCAAGGCTGCCCACGATCACCATTGTTATTTATATTATCTCTTGAGGTATTAACTAGAGCAATCCGGCAAGATGAACAGATCCAAGGTCTAGAAATCAAGAAAGAGACATTTAAAATACAAGCCTTTGCAGATGATTTAGTTTTTATAATTGAAGAACCACTACAATCAGGGATTAGACTGATGGAAACATTGAATAGATACGGGGAAATAGCAGGTTTAAAAATAAATAAAGAAAAAACTAAAATGCTTGTCAAAAATATGACTAAAATACAGAAAAATGAATTGGTTGACAGAATTGGTGTTCAAATCACAAATAAAATTAGATATTTAGGGATACAACTGACTGCCAAATGCGCTACGCTTAAAAGGGATAACTACGATAAGTTAATAGAACAGATTCAAAAAGACTTTGATATTTGGACTAACCTACAGCTCTCTTTTATGGGCAGAATTGCAGTGATAAAAATGAATGTGTTGCCAAAAATCTTATTTTTGTTCCAATGTATACCTATAAAATTAGACAAGAAATTTTTTCAAAATTTGAATAAAATGATGTGTAAATTCATCTGGCAAGGAAAAAGAGCAAGGATTAAATTAAAATTACTACAGGACTTAAAGGAAAGGGGGGGATTTGGTCTTCCAGACTTGGAGAAATATTACCAGGCCGCAGCATTAGTATGGGTAAGAGATTGGATATTACTAAAAAATAGGAGACTATTGTGTCTGGAGGGCCATGACCTACAAATAGGATGGCATGCCATATTATGGGATCATAAATATAAAGTACATAAATATTTTCGAAGTCACTATATTAGGCAAGCTCTTATTGATGTATGGACAAAAATTTGGCAACCAAATTATACCCAAGTACCTAGTTGGATCTCACCGTTAGAAATATATGTACACCCAAAATTTACTCAATTAGACAAGACCATAACATATAAAAATATCTTAGATGAAAGAGGAGAATTGAAATCCAGGAAAACCATCCACGATGAAGGGATAGAATTAGAATGGTGGGCATACCTGCAACTGCAGGCAAGATATCAGAAAGACAAAAAAGAGTTAGGCATTAAACTAGAACCAATAGAATTGGATAAAATAATTTTGGGGTCGGAGGATAAAATGATTAAAAAATTATACTACT